TAAATTGTTCCAAACACATTTTAGTAATTTGAGCGGTGAAAAACGAACCTTTCACGAGCTTCTTTTTCATGTAACTGCGCCAACATGTCTGACCTTTGCTCGCAGAACATCAGCGCTCTCAGTTTGCTGATCTCGTCTCTGAGTTCTCTGATCAATTTCACGTTTGGATCCTCGTTGACTGTAGGCTGATTGATTATGTTTTTAGCCCGATTAGCATACCTGAAAATAATTTTCACCTAAGAACTTTTATTTCTTGTTAAAGTTCTATTAAATCAAACCTCCACAGCTTTCAATACATACCTCAACGTGCTCAAAGTCTCTCCATAATTGCAATCCGCCGGACTGATAGCAGCAATCATAATAGTTTTTGAATTACCACCTAGACTGTCTTTGAGCAGCCACGTCAACACCGAGTCTCTGTACGGTATAAAAAGTTTTCTTTTCGCTCTTTTCGCCTTTCTGTTCGCTGGACAGCTCCGCTAAGGCCGATATTACGGAGCCCAATGTTACCAACGATTTTGTTTATGTGGGCACCTTCTTTCAATCTCTGACCTGTCGCCCCTGTCGAGTCTGCCCTTTCACTGCCCGCCAAGTCCACTAAGTGGATCTAAAAAAAAAATCAAAAAAAAAATTTTCTTTTCACCTGAATTACGAAGACGACGTGTTCCATTCCTGCGTGTGTGGTTCCAACAAGCCCTACAAAAGTAATTTGTTTTTTTGGCAATTTTTTGAAATAATGTATTCAGTGTTCCTCAAACTTTAGTTTACTATCAATTATACAGGGGTCCCAGAAGTCGACGTCAAGCCGAAACCGGGTGATAGGCAAAGTCATAACAGCTATCAGAAAAATATTTATGTATGTGTTTTGAAAATTATAGGTCTTTGCAAAAGATATAGAAATTCCACACCCTACGGCAGTCTGCCAACTCCTGTTACTACAAATATTAACTTTTTTGGATTTTATTTTTACAATGTAATGATGAATAATGCATCTTCAACTGGTGTCTCAACCTTACTGCCAACTTTTCTCGTTCAGGAAAAATAGCCACTTATTTCCCAACCAAGTATTCCAAAGTAAAACTTTGCTCAACTTTAACTGGCTGTACTGGAAAAAAATGTACTACGAGAGTTTGGCAAGTAACCTTAAAAGTTGGCGCATTTAATAACGATTCCAAAATGGTATAACACTTAGAAGATTACACGTTAACTTATGCACAATTTTTATTTGAAAAAAAAAACATGAAAATTTTTCAAAATTTCCTAATTAAACAGCGATTATGAAAAACGCACAAGAACCCTTAAGGATAACTGTTTGCACAACAGTGGGCGTCAAAATGCTGCTGATGATGATTTACCTTTACAGCAAATGCTCAAACTGTTTTCCTTCAGCCGCAATACACGATCGACATCTTTTTAAAAAAGATGGGGTTATTAAACGAGCGAATCCACGGTTATTAACAAACTCAGCTGCTTCCAATAGTCTCTGCCGTAGCTCAGCTACATTTTGAATCGGCTTGAAATACACTTTTCTTTTACAGTTTCTCAGTAAAAAAAATCTAACGGATTCAAATCTGGTGACCGGGCTGGCCACGGTATTGTACCAGACCGCCCTATCCATCTGCCTGGAAAGTTTTGATCGAGATACTCTCTCACTGAGATTATCTTGATCAACCAACCGTGGATCTTCCCTGTGTCTTTCTAACATTGTGCGACAAAAAGCAACTCGGGGCTCATAATCCCGGGGCAGAAGAGCTTGAACACGCTGTACGTGGTATGGATGGAGCACGTTTTTTTGCAAGATTCTATGGGCTGTACTTTTGGGAACACCTGTTTTTAGTTCTATTGCACGCACTGAAGTACTCGGGTCTTCTTCGACAGCTCCTAGCACCACGTCTTCGTAAGGAAGGAAAGATCTTCCCTCACCGTGTGATTGGTTTGGTAGTTGGCCCTCTGAGAACAGTAAGCGGTGCACATTTGTGAACACTCGATGATCTGGATGACGAGCTGCATTCGGGTACCTCCCACAGTAAAGCCTCGCTGCAGCACTAGCGTTGCATCTGCATTCCCCATAAATGAGGTGCATGTTAGCATATTCTTGTACGGTGTACCCGGAAATAGCGGCACTGCACAATCAGACTATCAAAGATGTTTTTGAAGAGCAATTAAACAGTCCAAATCCAAATCACAAGCGATCAACACTCCAGTTCACGAATCCAAAATTAGTAACAGTACGAAATCAACAAGCACGAACATGTAAAGATGCGCAGTAAACGAAGGAGTACTGATCGGTATCAAAGTGTGCAATAGCAAGTAAGTGATGTGCTTCATCCATACTACATACAGCGTGTTCAACCTCTCCTGCCCCGGGATTATGAGCCCCGAGTTGCTTTTTGTCGCACAATGTTAGAAGGACACAGGAAAGATCCACAGTTCTTTGAAAAAATTTTATGGTCGGATGAGACCACATTTAAGAAAGATGGGTACATGAACCTGCATAACTTACACGAGTGGCACGTAGCAAACCCACATTTGATGAGAGAAGATAAATCTCAATATCGCTTCAAGATAAACCATTGGAGAGGAATTTTAAATGGTAAAATAATCGGTCCGTTTTAGTTCCCAGAGACTTTGACTGCTGAAGTTTATTTGGATTTTTTGAAAAATCATGTACAAAATTTATTGGTGGACGTGCCACTGAGTATTTACAGGGACATGTGGTTTCAGCATGATGGCTGCCCAGCTGCCCAGCGCACTATGCACTCTCAGTGAGAGAGTATCTCGATCAAAACTTTCCAGGCAGATGGATAAGGCGGTCTGGTACAATACCGTGGCCAGCCCGATCACCTGATTTGAATCCTTTAGATTTTTTTACTGGGGAACTGTAAAAGAAAAAGTGTATTTCAAGCCGATTCAAAATGTAGCTGAGCTACGGCAAAGACTATTGGAAGCAGCTGAGTTTGTTAATAACCGTGGATTCGCTCGTTTAATAACCCGATCTTTTTTAAGATGTCGAGCGTGTATTGCGGCTGAAGGAAAACAGTTTGAGCATTTGCTGTAAAGGTAAATCATCATCAGCAGCATTTTGACGCCCACTGTTGTGCAAACAGTTATCCTTAAGGGTCCTTGTGCGTTTTCATAATCGCTGTTTAATTAGGAAATTTTGAAAATTTTCATCAGTTTTTCTTCAAATAAAATTTGTGCATAACTTAACGAGTAATCTTCTAAGTGTTATACCATTTTGGAATCCTTACTAAATGCGCCAACTTTTAAGGTTACTTGCCAAACTCTCGTAGTACATTTTTTTCCAGTACAGCCAGTTAAAGTTGAGCAAAGTTTTACTTTGGAATACTTGGTTGGGAAATAAGTGGCAGTTTTCCTGAACGAGAAAAGTTGGCAGTAAGGTTGAGACACCAGTTTGAAGATGCATTATTCATCATTACATTGTAAAAATAAAATCCAAAAAAAGTTAATATTTGTAGTAACAGGAGTTGACAGACTGCCGTAGGGTGTGAAATTTCTATATTTTTTTCAAAGATCTATAATTTTCAAAACACATACATAAAATTTTTTTATATATTTTTCTGATAGCTGTTATCATTTTGCCTATCACCCGGTTTCGGCTTGACGTTGACTTCTGGGACACCCTGTATATGTTTGCTATTATTTTTACTCTGATCAATTTTGGCATTGTAATATTTTTTCTTTTCATCTCGTAGAACTGCAACAGATTGGTTTCTTGATCTTGTGTATTCTAGCCAATCATTTTCACTTCCAGTAATCATAAACTTTTTATAATTGTGACAAACGCTATTTCATTGTGAACCCGAATCCGTCAATGAATTTGTTTTTGAGTAAAAGTTACCGATTCTGTAATTCTTTAAAAAACCGTCCGACCTTTGCACTGGCCCCTGTATATTATCCTTTCGAACAGCTTCTCGGCATCTGGCAAGACATTCATCGGCCGCATATTTGTATATAACTCAGAATGTTCAATTTTTAGCGCATGGTGGAACACTTTAATTTGGATGGGAATTCACGATGCACTAAACAATGATTCGCCAATAATAATAATTTCTCTCCAACACCAACTTATAGTCCTCACCAAAACTTTCCAGGTGAAGTCAATATTTCTTTTTGCCTACATACGATCTTTTTTCTAGCTTCTTGTCGCATTATTTTGTTTGAATCCTCGATGAATTCAAGATTTTAACCACATTCTAAAACACTTTGAGTAATATTTAGCATCTTACCTTGGAGACAGTTTCACTGGGTACTCCATCGCAGTAGCCAGCCTGTACAAATGTTATTGTAAAAATAGCGTGACTTCTGCTACTAACATCATTCATATTTGTCGCAGCAGTCGTTCTATTCGCATTTCCCCTAGAAAGTATAAAAATACGGTGAAGAAGCTTTACTCAATGCCTTCCATGCTAATACAGCTCTCTCAGTTTGTAGACTATGCACTCTTCTAGGCAAAAAATGACATGTCTGTGGTAATGACAACGTTGAACAACCAAATTCTAAGAGAAATTTCGTATACATATCCTGAATCTGACAATAAAAGTAAAAGGTCTGTGCAAAGAAAACAGGACAAAAAAACTGAACATACATCTTCAGACATATTTAATTCCATTTCTATGTATCAGATATGTTCCAAAAGCCCGGTTTACTGTTTTTAAAATTCCTTTGAAATGATAAACATTAACTATACGTTTATCCATTTTCCGATTGGTTTTACCTCTCCATGCACTCTTGAATATGGCTGTAGTTAGCAACCAGGCACGTGGTCAATCCCTGAACATACGGCCCTTTTTTTGGGTGCTCGCGAACTTTTAATGAGGTTGTATCACGACCACGTAGTAAGTCAGCCACTCGTTCCTGGTAAATTTCTAAATAGCTAACTTGTACTCTATGCGTTGTGCCTCTTTTCGAATTATCTGCCATCCTATCGAAAAGGGCTTTGCATATTCTTGGAATCAGCCCTTGATTATCCTGAAAACGTTATCATTTATGGGGAATGTAGATGCAATGCCAGTGCTGCAGCTAAACTTTATCGTGAGAAGTACCCAAATGTAGCTCGCCAACCTGATCACAGAGTTATTGTGAATGTGCACTGTTTAATCTCAGATGGATGATGCCCAAATCAAGAACAAATTGAAGGAATAATCTCCTTTCCTTGTGAGGACGACGTACTACAAGAAGACCTGAGTCAAATAGAACTGATTTTACGTCAAAAGCTATAGGTATTCCTATCCATCCATTGATCTCATTAAAAAAAGTTATATCGATACATGATCTATGCAACTGATTTATTCACACAGAGAATACAGGACTTGAGGGTTTTTGAGATTTTCCCTAATGGTATCCCTTTACTCTCTGAAAGTTTCCTGATTCAAAACTTCCATTTTTTCCAGGATAATTTAAAACATTTCCTTTAGAAATGTGAAAGAAGTTACTCACTGTTAAATTCCCATTATCATCTCCCAATATTAAAAGTGAAAAAAGCCAGGTAACCTAAGGTAATTTAGCATGCTGATTTTGAGTATGATCATTAGAAAATGCTAGTCCTATTTGGGCTAGAAGACTGGGATTTTTGATTTTTTCCAAAATACCATGTCCACCTAGTTTATCAAACAAACAAGATTTGGTTGAGATCAGGGATACATGAGAATTTTTGGAAAATTTCCTCAGTCTGCGCCATCTATAAGAACCTCAAAGGTTCACATTTTCTAATTGCAAGGGCAGAAAGGTTTAATTTCAAAAATACTTGATATATTGCTTGGAAATAGTAAGAAATTAAAAAAAACAGAACTCTTGACAGGGAGAATTAATAATCAATTAATTGGTCAAATGTATATCAACTTAAATTAAACACTAAAAAATATATGCTTATAGGAAAATTTTTAGATGAAAATAAGATAAATCTTATGAATAATCATGAAAAACTTGAGTCAATCAAATAATTTAAATGTTTGGGCATATACATAGATAGTAAATTAAAATTTAAAGAGCACTATGAATATAATATTTCAAAAATTTACATAAAGATAAATTTCTTTTATAGAATTTTGCAAAGCCTCAGCATTTATTCTAAAAAAATGGTGTACAACACAATCATTCTTCCTCATTTGTTATAGTGTTTGACCAAGTTTGTTCACTGTGTTTTCGAAATTGCAAATACAGTGAAAGCTCTCCTTGCGGACAGCTCCTATAAGCGGACATCTCTTTTAACCGGACAAAGTTCCTGGAACCGAATTTCAGCCATCAATTTTCAATGTTAAATGCATTCCGATAAACGGACGCTCTTATAAACGGACGCGGACACTAGATTTTCCTGTATGTGATCAAAAAATCTCCCATAAGCGGACGCGAAACTCTAATACCCGGACGATTTTTTAGTTCCGCTTATTGCAATGCACATATCTACATACATAAAATTCGGTAATTCCCCGATTTATATTAGGTGATTCCCCATTTACGCATTTCGTTGGGTAGCCTGTATGTAATCTTGTGGCTTGTCTTCAGTTCAGGCAAATTCGTAGTTGATTGAGTTACGTATTTTATTATTGTAACTGTAAAATGGCACCAAAAAAAAGGATGCTCTCGTTAAAGGAAAAGATGGAAGTTGTTAACGTATTAGACAGAGAAAGTGTTTCAGTTCGTCATTTGGCAAAGAGGTTTAATATTGGGAAAACGCAAGCAGCTGAAATTGCCAAAAATAAGGAAGATATCAGGAGTAAATGGCAATCAGGAACTAATATAAATCAAAAGAAGGATTTTTTAAAAAAGGAAGGTTTTGCTATAGACAAAACATGTTTTGAGTGGTTTGTGAAAGCTAGAAGTCAGAACAGTCCAATCTCAGGGCCGTTAGTGAAAATGAAAGCTAAAGAAATCGCCACTACTTTGGGCTATAATAATTTCAGTGCGTCCGACGGGTGGCTGCAAAAGTGGCGCAAGAGACATAGTGTGAGTTTCAAATGCATATCTGGCGAAGCTGCTGCAGTAGATCAAGTTGATGTGTCACAATTTTTGGAGAAACTTCCGTCCATGTTGCTTGGCTACAAACCAGAAGATGTGTACAACGCAGATGAGAGTGGACTTTTTTTCGCGCATTGCCCGACAAAACTCTGTCCTTTAAAGGAGAAACATGTGTGGGTGGAAAGTTGTCTAAAGATAGACTAACCATTTTATTCTGTGCAAATATGGCCGGTGAAAAATGCGATTTGATTGTGATCGGGAAAGCGGCTCGTCCCCGTGCTTTAAAAAACGTTGCTATTAAGGATCTACCAGCGACTTGGAAATCCAACAAAAAGGCATGGATGACCCGAGAAATCATGTCTGAGTGGTTAGTCGAATTCGACCGGAAAATGAGAATCCAAAAAAGGCAAGTTCTTTTATTTTTAGACAATGCATGCTCTCATCCTCGTGATATGAAAATGAAAAATGTGAAAATTATATTTTTACCGCCAAACACAACTTCTGTTTGTCAGCCCATGGATCAAGGTGTCATACAGAACTTTAAATTTTATTATCGGCACTTGATTTTAAAACATATTTTAACAAAAATTGACGATGGTCAAAGCTTATCTGAGCTTACAAAGTCTATCAATGTGTTAGAAGCATTGTATTTTATAAAAACAGCATGGAATAAAGTAAATTCCTCTACAATTAAAAACTGTGTTGGCAAAGCTGGATTCAGAAAAAGTGAATGTAGCTCAGAATTTGCTGAGCAAAATTATTGCGATGCTGAAGACGATCTGCCCTTAGCGACACTTGCTCAGTTACTGCGACATGCCAAACATTTAGGAGTAGCAGATCCCCAGAAAGTAGATGATTTCCTGGCCATAGACAATAACATAACAACAGAAGAAAATGCCATTGGCAACTTTTCGAATTTGGATGTAGAAAGCCCAGGCCAACTTGAATATGGTAGTCCAAACGACTCAGAAGAAGAAGTGGAACTGGTGGACTCACTAAGCGGTTCAAAAACGATAAATTCATATGGGGAAGCTCTAAATCATATTTCTATATTGAAAAAATTTGCTAAAGATGATTTCACTGCATTTCAACATTTGAAAAATTTAGAAAGTTATTACGAAAATTGTCTCCTTCAGCAAAAGATGGTGAAATTTCGTCAGACAAACATTGTAAACTTTTTTCAACAAGCTAAAGAATAATGTTTTTTTTAAATTCTTGTACCATGTATTGAAGCATTTATGTTTTTGTATGCGTATATGTACATATATTATATAGATATATATAGCATAAATACATACTTTAAAAATGTGGCGAGTTTCTGTTTCATTTTTCTCATGAGTATAATACCTCATTTCCTCATGATTATATACCCCGTTATTTATACTCTATACTTACATACTCTCTTTTAAATGGACACCTCCCATAAGCGGACAAAAGTTACGGAACCGTGAGTGTCCGCTTATGGGAGCATTCACTGTATTACAAAATAAAGTGAGAATCATCTTAAATAAAAATAAATATACTAGAATAAATTTTATGCTGAAAGAACTACAATATTTAAATATAAGAAAATTCATAAACAACTTGTTTTTCATTTTCATATTCAAGTTAAAAAACAATCTTCTACCAAATCACTTGGAAAATGTTATTGCATTGAACAATGAGTACCATAGTTATTCTACTAGAGAGAGTATAGTCTTTCATTTACAAAATTGTACTAGCAATATAACAAGCAAATCAGTATCTTAAAAGGGATTGTATGAATTTTATAAATTAAGTAATTATATCAAGATGTGTGCCAGTTTAAAAATGTACAAGGGGAAATACTCCATGGAAAACCAGAATCCATAGTAGTGAAATTTTGTATGAAAATATGTAGTCTTGAAGACATATTATGTGTTATACTGTGCAACATGGATATTGTAGCTAATAAATAAATCTAGCAAACTATCAGTATTGAACCATCATTTTTAAGCCAGATAATAACATACATACCATAGCCCCCATCATAGTGAAAGTTTTACCACTACCAGTTTGTCCATATGCAAACACACAAGCATTGTATCCTTCAAAGGCACAGTCAACCACTTCTTTTCCCAAATCATTGTACACTCTTTCCTGGGATGCATAGTTCTCAGACTTTTCATCATGGGACCAATAAGAGTAATCAAATGTGAACTCCTTGTACCTGATACTTTCATCCCTTGTATTAGCCTACACATTTAAATGAAAAATGAACTATAAGTTAAATGTCTTGCATACATTCATAAAAACTATTTCAGGTTAATAAAATTAAAGGGGCAACCAATATATAATCTCATTTTTATGGGACATATAGAAGAATATGTAAAATGCACATAAACATATTTCTATTTATGAAATGCCAATACCAAGTTGGTACCAAAAGACTACACTGTTCATTTAAATAGACATTTATTGCTACGATTCACACAAGCACCAACAAAGGATATATTATTGAGACAAGATCTCCAAAAACAATATTGAAATGGTAGAACAGACAGGCATTGAAACTTAAATCTAAGCTAAAAACAATTACCTTGCAATTGAGGATTCCTGTAGTCTTTCCTTTCATTTGTATTATCAACTGGGCCCCCATGTCCAGTTCCCTGAAGCAAGTTCAATGCTCTCATTTTATGTGCAGTGAAGCATAAGAAAACTTACCTTTGGTTAAATGGCCTAACCCTGACGGCTACTTTGACGGAGGCCATCTTTTGCGAATCAAATATTCATCACTTCAAAAACTCTTCGAAAAATTCTCTCAAAAAAAACATTCGTCGTCATTACACTTGGCTTTGTTTTGATCGAACATCCGTCATCAAATCGACATCAAAAGCAACGCCATCTTGATAGATGACATCTTGCGAAACGTCAAGTCAGCATGACGTAACGAGCTAATAGAGATGAGAGTTACGAAAATATTGTGTCACAGTTTACATTGAATGAACTTTCAACCATTACCAATTATGCGGGTTTACAGCGTTCGACACCCCACAATTGGCAAGTGTGTCTCCTACATGATAGGATGAACTTTTTAGTTTCGGGCGTTCGACGCATGGTGATACCAACGTTTATTATCGGTCTCATTGTCGCGCTTGAATCTTTACAACTGAAGGAAAAATTATACAAAATAAACGATAAAACAATTTTTTCGAGCATCGAAATATGATTTCAGATGTGTCTTCAGCGACCAAAACTGAAGTCTGTCAGAAGCCTCAGAAATGTCGAAAAACTAAGTTTTTGTTTGTTTTTCGACGATAACTCCGCCACCACTGTACCGATTTTCAAACATTGCAGAGCTTTTTCGTCATTTTCATACCTATGGTCAAAGTTTCATCAAAATCCTGACAATACTATCAGAGTTATCATTTATTAAATCTTTTTCGTTAGTTACGAAATGCAAGTCAATATATTTCTCAACTAGTCTTGGATTGCAACGGGACATTATAATTAAACAACTCTAAGCACTTGATAATTTATAATTTACTAAAATACCTTAGGCCGTTCATAACTCATCTGTGAAACGTACAAAATATTAGCAATAAGAAAAAGCGTTGTTATGGCAGTCTATGCTTTGTATGTATACTAATTTAATTCATTCTCCTCAAACGTTAGTTACGGAACATACATTATTATGAATTGGTGGGTATTCAAATCAAAATGCTTCTCACATACCACTACTTCATCACAATCACAGCAAATAAGTAAATAATGTTTTTTGCCGCTACTGGTTCTGACCTAAAACCATCAATCACACGACCTCTCGTGTGGGAGCGTAACGAACCAAGCTTCCAACGTTGTAACGTCCTTTGACGCGGTTCAAATCTACCGAAAAGAGCCCGAACGTTGGACTCGTGCAGTTTGTCAGCGCTCTCGCACACGATGTGGCGAATGGCATGTGTCCAACATTGTAAGGTCTTCGTCACATGGTGTGGGAGCGATTGTTAAATATGCCATAGCCCATCTCTATCAGCGGTCATCTGTCGCAGCCTTTAGCTAATCATTGACGTTTAACTTTCACGTTCAACTGAAGAAAAACATTTGATCTATTTTCTACGTTCACGGTTGACATTTTGACATTCCGTGATTCCCCTGATTACGTGTGGAAAGTGGAAAGTACTTGAGGCATTTGAGATTGGAATTCTTACATAAAAGCTAGATCAGCATTATTTATCGTTAACTTTTGCAGTTCTGCAAGTATCAGTAATAATACCCATTATCTGTCTCTAAACAGTCTCATAATACTTGTAGCTTACGCACAATATTTGTTATTTTCGTATAAGGATGTTTTTTAAAAATAGGTAAAAGCATTTACATATTTGATATTTTCTGCGAGTTTCATCGCGTACCTGTCTTATGCTTGTGATTTGTTGTAGGTGCTGATCAAAATCAAAACAAAGGATGGATACCTCAAAAAGTGGGAATGTGGTGAAGATCTCCAATTTGGACAGTGCAGCTACAGAAGATAAACTGGAAGAACTTATTATGCTCTTAGTCAAGCTGAAAGGTATAGTTCAAAACATCATCATTTGTCAAGTGGGCAATTTCGCTTATGTTTTATTCCAAGAACATTGTGACGCTGAAGAAACAGTAATGACCTTGGATGGGATGTATTATAGGTCCACCAAGCTTAGTGTAACACTCCCTGATGAGAATGAGAGTGATGAAGCTTTCTTGTTGATGAACATTTTACATACAAAGAAACATGATTTAAATGCAAATAGCAATGAAAAAAATGAGCATCAAGACACAGATGAGAAAAATTCAGACATTTGCAGTGAAGAACATAGTGAGGCTACAAGTAAATCTACTGGTGCATCTGATACAGAAAGTGAGGATGATAGTGCTTCAGAATCTTCAGCCAAATCAAAAAATGCAAATGAATCAGGGCAAATAGATAATAGTCTAAACAATCCTAATAATAAAAGAAGTAGAGGTTCTAGACGAAGGCGTAGATTGGGGACATTTAACAATAACAGTCAAACTACAAGAAATGATAACCCCAATAGTAGGGGCAGGGGCAGAGGTAGAGGTCAAAGAGTTGGACCTAGATATAACAATCACAATAATGATCGATATAATGTTCAAAATAAACCCCATCAAGATTCAAATCACAGTCATCATAAATATCCCAACAGTCGAGCGTTTCATAATTCTAATTTTCAGTTTTACAAAAGATCTGACTTAATGAAGTCTAATACAAGAAATCAGAATTATCAAACTGGTAACAATCGTGCAACTATGCCTCCAAATTTTATATTTGACGGCACCAATCCAAGTTTTCCAGATTTTAGCGTCCCTCCTCCAAACTTTTCTCCTCCCGTTAACAATGAATCTAACACTCAACCTGCAACTAAAAACATCAACCTCTCTATTAACTGGAACCAACAGAGAGCAGAAAATGATAATAATGGCAACAGACCTAACCTTTTCACTGGTTTTTCACAAAATCAAGCATTCTGTCCACCTGGAAACAATTTTACTCAGAACCAAAATAAATATAGACCAAATAATCAGAACTTTCAAGGTCGAAAACCTCAAAATTACGTATCACCAAATAATTTAAGATCTGGTCAACACACATTATTAAAGGCATTAGGTAGTACTCCATCAGATACAAGTTCAGGTCAAAGTACACCTTCTCTATCCCCTTTGAAGCAGGCAGCAGTAACTAGCTCAGGCACAGTTGTCCAAGAGACTGTATGTAGAACCCCTCCACCTCCATATTCCGCAACTTGTGAACCTGCTACTTCTACCAACATTGTAGCATCTAACACAACTCAAGAAGCTGCATCTACTCTTACTCTAGCTTCTGGTTCTACCTCAAGTGCTCAGAGTACTCTGGGTAGGACCCCATTAAAAGAAAACAAATTGGATATTGCTAGAGCTGAAGAGGCAATTATCGGTTTGACTATAGGATCAAGAAGGTATGATGTAAAGCCAGGTAAAAAAAAGAAGTCTGATGACTGTGTAATTTTGTAAATGTTTTTTTTTTCATGTAATGTGATTTTTATTTAATGGCTCGATTTTCTAATCACAGGTTGATTCTAACTTTACTGCTAGAAGTTAATCCCCAAAAACTATTTTTCAATGTAATGTAATATATAATTGACTTTAACCGGAAGACCATCAATGGGTTTACAGTATATTGAGGTTAGGAAATTTCAAACTGCCGATTCTCTTTTGATACTAAATCAATTCCAGGGTTACGCGGTTTAGCTTAGTATCATAACAGACTTGTCAGTTTGAATTAAAAGATGCAGTGTCTAACCTATACCCTATTTCACGAGTATCAATCACTGTAGAATGACAGCTGATTATCTAGTAATATCTTAAAATTCCGCATATCGGCTCAGGACTCATATAGATCGACCAGCCAAAGATTGCTAGGGACGAAAGGGGGAAATGCGATGAAAAAACCTTACCATTAGACGATTTTATATGGAGTCATAGGCGGAGATCGGAGAGACTTGAATTATTAATTGAATTTATATTTTATTACAACTGGTAGTATTAATATTTTTTTGCGATTCATAATGACGTGATACCAAACATACATTATAAGAAATAAATATACACAAACACTGAATATTGAGAACAAAATAAATATATTTTTTAGGCAACAAGTAATATTCCTATGTACGCATTATGATTGAACAGCAAAACAAATTATGCATTCTTCTAAAATAGAATACAACAAGTCAAAAATATCTGACTGAATAGAAAAATATAGGAAAACAAAAAGTAATTTCTTGATGAAATAACCCATAAACAACACATAGAATTAGACTTTCTACTGAGATACTAAAAGCCACAAACCAATAGTATAATAAATGAATATCTAAAAATTCTAAAAGGTAGCCAATCTAGTATAGTTTCAATCCTGATTAGAGTCATGATCACTGTCTGAGGAACTGTCATTGCTATCACTTTCACCTCCTATGTTGATTATTATTTCTTCCTGTATTTCTTGAATGAGACTGTCTTTTTCCCAATATTCATCTTCAATTTTTATAACATGTCCAATAACCTTTTGCCAGTCACTGGCACTTACTGAAGCGATGGCCTTATTAGAAATTTCATCTAGTTTTTTTATAGTAAATTCGCCGCTTGTATTATGGCTTCTAATGAAAAATTTTACTTGTGCCCAAATCATCTCTATGGGATTAAACTGACACATATAGGGTGGCGTTCGAAGTGGGGTGTGTCCGAAACTTCTTATTAAATTATCTATCTTATAATTTTTCTCATCAGATGGTGGCCTATGTAGACAAGCTATTTCATAAAGCTCCATTTTTTTAGCATTAGGATCATGCTCTATACCTTTTTTGCTCAACCACGTGATGATGTCTCTTTTTAGAGAAGATCTAGTTGGAGGCTTGTCTTCCAAAGCTGAATGGTAAGGTGCATTATCCATTATTATAATACTATTAGGAGGAATGTTAGGAAATAGTTTTTCAGTAAGCCACTTCGTGAAATTTTCTTGGTTCATTTGACCGTGATAATCACCAGTGGCACAGCCAGCCTTGAAAATGAGACAGGCTCCAGGAACAAAACCATCTTGCGAACCCGCATGAACAATTATAAGTCGTCCTGGAAATGAATAAATAGCCTCATTTTAGTGTTATTTTAAGTTTGCCAACACCTTTTTGAATCACTATGTATAAAAAACATATTTTTGAGAAAAAAATACTTGCAAGGGATTATGTATTCAATTAGACAAATTAAATGAGCACTTATTAAGAATATTCCAAAATTGAGAAAAATGTATAATAAGCAAAATCGAGGTGAAAGAAACTTTATTACCTGTAGAACTTATATTGCTCAGGACACCCATAATTTCTTCGCTTTGCCAGCATTTCTTGAAAGTGAGGTCATTATCAACCCAAGTTTCGTCCAAATAAATAATATGCCTTCCTTCTTCCCGGAACTTTTTAATAGACCTAAGATACTTGTATCGCCAATGTAAAATACTGGGTCTTTCCATTAGTAATTTCCTTTTGTTGTGGCATTTACGCCAGTAAAATCCTTTTGCTTTTAAAAGCAGCCTCAACGATTCTTTACCAAATGGAAATTCCATTTCTTCCTTCAGTTTGATTAGAAGTTTACTACAAGTAGGTACCACTTTAAAATCACAGTAAAATTTTTCTATCATTCTCCGAATAATGGAAAAATCGACTCCATCAATTTTTTGGATCACAGAAGGGCGTGATCTCTTTTTTCCGGGAGAAGCTAAAGGCTGTGTGGAGGTTGCATTTTGCCTGTCTTTATCTTCTTTTCTAATTTTACTTATAGTTCGTTCACTAACACCCGTATAATATGCCGCCCTTGCATTTCTAGCTACCAGTGGATAAACGAAAGTATTGTTAGCCGCTTCTGCATCGCAAGCACGTATCACGTTTGCTATTATTTCCCTTGCCTGGCTGTGAATAACTTTCCCATGCTTGAATTCCATTATCACCACTAAACAGTAAATTATATTTTCAAAGTATTTGCCAACTGCCTACGCCTATGGGAGTAGGTTTATAAATGACCGTGCCATCGGCACGTTATTCTAGTTTCAGATAAGATAAGAGTTTTGGACCAATCAGCGACCGGATGTTTACCTGCGGCCTGGGTTTTCCAGCTACATTGCCAAATTCAGGGGAACAATTCTATATCTTAAATATGTTAATATGTATGGACCGCATTTTATGTAGAACATCTGACAACTTCGCAATTTTTTGTCCGCATTCTTTCGGCTTGCAATCTTTCGCTGGTCCAACAATAAATCAAATATTTACCATTTTGGGTTGGTATTTACCGATCCGTTCAAGCGAGTGTAGTTATCAGTTTGGTTATAAGATCCGTGACGTCACGAATCAGCTGTTATATGTCATAGTTATCACCGCAAAATTGTGGTATTTATCCAACTCAAGAGTAGTTTTATATTTCTGGTTATTATTTGAAATGTGACAAGTTAGAATTTTGCCGGGTATTGGATATTGTTATTGTACTTCAGCTTCATTTTTGAGAAAATTGATACAGGCTGAGTTCAGTTTTACCATAAAGTGGAGCACCTTATTAGTTATACTCATTACGGTTGTTGGGGACACTTTAAATGTAGTTCCTATGCTTAACAAAGTAACCTGTGTAGCCATATACCACAAGAATATTAAAATATGGCCATATAAACTCACTAGATGATATCCACCTGTATACGGTTTTGCTAATTTCTTTTTTCATCATTTCTGCTGAATCAATACATGTTTTCTTTGACATGCGGAAAAATTTAGAGAATTGAAAGTTATCATAGCTACAAAGCCATGGTTCCATCATTAAAAAAAAATCTGAAAAAACATTTCTCCCATGAATATTATGAAAGGTTTCTTATTTAAACTTTCCATATACAGTTGTAGACGAAAAAGCACCGATTTTTAAGTGATAATAAAAATAATCAGATATTATATACGCGCTTTTCTAAAATAAACAACGTGCAACAAAACCGCGGTTAAAACCAACGCGTTCAAGCGATTCGTGTAACTGACGTCATCAACCCGTGTGTCATCTTGAACCATATTATAACCGCGGCACATAACACAGAAATTTTGGTTATTCGCTTGGATTTGATTATAATTTCTGACGGATCCGTCAACGTCAGGTAGTCAGAGCTGTATTTTGTACGCTTCAGATTTATTTTATACTTGCTAACAGCGCTTTTATTTAGAAAAGTTCATTTGCATACAAAATGCTACAAATAACCTCGCAGACTAACACAAAAGTGTCACTTGCTGATCAGCTGTTCACCTCAGTAGACGTCAAAGCGTGATGGATACTCGTGAAATAGCGTGTAGTTAGCTTTCAAGTTATAGTTCTGTACTTGGAAGTTAACCTGCGACTGAAGAATCGAGCATTAGTCCTATATAGTTTAGTCAGTTTTTAGAATGAGATATGTGCGCAAACAAAAATTTAGTTTAAAAAATAATCATAGTGATTAACATCATTTTTTAAATATCTTAATCCATTATTTGTCATAGTTATGTCATAAAACATACGTCACCTCTGTCTACACTTTCTCAAAGTGGTTGATGAAGCCTCCTGAAAATGGGGGAGGGGATACGTTTAAGACTTGAAAGGCAGATTTTTGTTTTTTCTTTGCGAAATTCAAGCTACACAAGGCTTGCGTTAGTCACTATGGGCACTTCTGTGTCACTCTAGTGAAGAATAATTATATTACGTTTGTTAAAATCTGTCAAACATACTTAAAGTGATGTATACTAGATGGTAGATATTATATAGCCTGTAAATTTGAAAATATATTTTGTGATTATACAAGATTATCTTGAAGTATATTGGAACAAACATTAATTTATCTTCTTTCTCTTTTATGATGATATACCCATAAACTGATTCGTTATTTGAGACATTGTATCCAAAATATGTATGTTTTCTAGTAACTTATTTTAATAAAATTTTGAAAAACCAAGTCGTTTTAGTTTTTGAGCGACATTATTTGAAATCTTGGCATTCTTAGATTCTCAAGTCCACTATGGTCGTTCATTGCGAAAGACGTGAATTGTTTCTCACTCATTTTTTTTTTAAGTAAGGGGCTGTACGGTTTCGAATGGATCATACAAAGTCATACAAACAGATTTATATTTTCGTCACAAGTCTTTTAGACATTTCATGTGCTTTTTCGTTCTTATTGGCTATCCGTGAACCAAACTGTAGAGCTCTTTTCTTGAAACGTGCCACTTTCTTAAGCCCCAATTTGTATGCTAGACACCTCAATAGCAATTTTTCTCCAAATCCCTGAGGTACAGTTTTAGAAGGAAACGTTCTGCAAGAATAAAAAATATTGTAAACATATAGTTGGAAATCATACAGGACAAACAACCTGGTTACTTGAATGTTCAATTGTATCTAGCTGCTATGAGCTAGTGCATCATGAGGTATTGCTTAGCCAATGGCTGAATATTACTTACTTTTCCCATGGTTTTAAACCTCTGACAAAATTGACAACTTCTTCATCTAAATATGGAGTTCTTAATTGTCTACCATGGTCCGAGACAACCCTGTCATCTCTTCCCAGGTTTCTATGAGACAAATTTTGCCAATCTTCATTTAGGACATTATTTAAACCCGACCAGGATCCTCTTGCAAATGCGGCTCTATGCCTTGTATAACCGCCAAAAAGTTCGTCAGCTCCCATGCCAACCAAAAGGACCTGCAGAATTACTTAAAATAATATACCTGTAGGTCTTTTGATTGTTTTGGTGGGTCATAGTTAAACTATAGATTTCACGAGTATGCATCACGGTAGAATGACAGCTGATTATCTAGTAATATCTCAAAATTCCCCATATCGGCGCAGGACACATAAATCT